ATATAATTTTACTCTATATTATTGTAATATACAATTTTATTAAAATTATGATTAATTTTCCTGGCTGAAATATCAGCCGCACTATTCATTATGTATTCAAATAAAGAGGAAAGAGCACAATATACATAAAATAAGCATGCATTAAGCACTTATCCAAAAACACATACTCATACATTTACATATATAACCAAACCAGGTTATTTCTCCAGCTCCCTTGAAACCCATTCCTGTAATGAGTGAACCATTTGAGAAGCTAGTTATTGATTGTGTCGGTCCTTTGCCAAGAACTAAATCTGGTCACTCATATCTGTTAACGCTGATGTGCTCTGCTACTAGGTTCCCTGAAGCCATTCCTCTACGTTCACTAAAGACTCCGACCATTGTACATATACATATCATTTATGACTCTTCAAATGCAGTTCGACTAAATGCATCCCAAACAAATGCATCCAGCAGCTTGCAAAGTGAACAACATACAGAATTGGAGATGTCAGACCTGCAGAACTGAAGCACATCTTCGTAGGACTGAACCTCACTGCAGCTGTCGTGAGCTGATTCTCCTGCTTTGAGTGAATCCTCCTGCTCTATTACAACATAAACTGCACAAACACAAGCAACCTGAAGTGCTTTACAGATGTTTGTCGCATAATGTGAACGCTGAATTTTACTGCACAGCATGTGCATGTTTCTGCGTAATTATGTGAGAAACCATTTTTATTGTTTTAGGCACAAGTGTAAATTATTTTATCTTCATCTATGCTTATAAAAGATTCACTATCTTGCAGAAGCAGAACTGAAATATAAAAGGAAATCTAGACACTGAAGTCTATCTCTATTCTATTACTTCGGTTATGTAAATCTTCTAATCAATAAAAACAAAACTCTCACTCTGTCTTGCTTGCTCTCTATCCACTTTGCACTTCCACCCACACAGTCCAAAAATATTTCAATATGCAACGCAGGACATAAAAGGGCTTTTCTGAGCATGTCTAATAGAATAAGAAGCATCTGCGCTGGGGACATGCTAAACCTAACCTTTACAAACCTCCCACTGGCAGAAATAATTCAAACAAAGAAACAAACATTCAATTATCACGTTATACTGATATATTTAAAGTGATATAAAAAAAAAAATGTTGCTTTATGCCTAAAGGTAAATTCTATCTACAGAGATTGTTGTTTCCAAGAAGCTCTCAGCTATTCTATTGCAGTATAAACAGATGTGCCTTTAAAAATTCCTTAGGAGAAATTTTAAATAGTTGTTGACAAAGTATAAAGATATAAATAATGTGGATGTCATTGCACAGTTTGTTTGGACTCATATTGAGATCTCTTACTTTGACTGCAGACTTTGGTATCTTGGCACATCTGAGCACAGTTTGAGACATTGTTGAATTCTCTTCTGGTATACCCTAGTGGAGACACATGTGAGATTATGGGTGTAGTTTTCTCAGGAGAAGAGAGAAACAGTGGATCATCCAAATCTTCACATATGTCTTTGCATTGCATCTTTCCTTCATATTTCCATTTAACTTTATCTGTCTCACTCCTCCGGCTTCATCCTACCATCTATCACAGCTGTCACTTCTCATTACCTCTTCCCTCTTTCTCTCTCACTTTCCTCTTCTTCTGTCTGACTATTTTGGGTTCCCCTCAGCCAGGGCAAGAATGATAAATGAGGGCGAGAGATTGGAGTGGGCTGTGTGAGGGAATTTAGGGGTGGAAACAATGATATTTCAAAGAAGCAATATTGTACCTAACAACACAGTATTGATATTCTCAATTTAAGAACCTATATGTTTAGTTACAATTGTCACATTAATATTTTGTGGGGGGAGGAAGTAATTGACCGCTATTATAAGTCTCTAAGAAGCCAAAACGTTCTAAATTTTAGATTATAAAACAGGCTTGTTTAGGTCAAAATTGATACTAGAACAGAAACTGTAATAGAACAGAATGTAGTATAATAGAGCAGGAAAAATAAAGTATTTAATAGAATACAATATTTGACAGTATCTACATTATTTTTTAAAGTAATGTGGCTATTTGTCGCTGCAACATTATTGTGCAAGGCTTTCAATATCATTTGCTCACAGTTATATTAGTTGTACAAAAACAGTCTGTTATCCTGCTTGATACTCCAAACTGATTATCTGTTATACTATTTTAAATAATTACTGTAATCATAAACACAGTGGTTTGTAGCACAAACAGTTTTACTGTTTTCTGCACTTTGTCATTATTCTAGTTATTTATTGCAGCTAATAAATCATAAGTCTCTCACATTTGCAGAGAATCTAGTAGAATAGAATATATACCTTAATAGAATAGAATCTAGAAAGATATAGAAGAACAGAGATTATAATGGAATATAATCTTTAACAGAATAGAGTGGCATATAATGGAAACTAGAATAGAATATAATAGAATTCCGAGAAGCAGAATAATAGAGTTTAAATAGAATATAATCTTTAACAGAATAAAGTATAATACAATGGAGTAGAATAGAATAGAAACTTTAATAGAATAGAATATATCAGAATAGAGCAGAAGATCAGAGATTCAATAAAATAGAATAGAATAGAATAGAAACTTTAATATAATATGGTATGGTAGAATGCAGCAGATGAAGAGTTTTTAATAGAATATATTCTTTCACAGAATAGAGATTACAATACAAGATTATACAACAGAGCGAGAGAGAGAGAGAGAGAGAGAGAGAGAGAGAGCAGTAGTCTTCTGTTTTATGCTGCAGGGATCTGTCCAGCAGCACAGAGCAGTCGGAAACGCTGCAGCGGACCACAGACTTCTCGCCACAACACCACCCAACACACACCACACACTCACACACGCACACACACACACATACATACAACTAGAGGATGAGAGAGGCAGAGGCGTAACCAGGAGAAGCACCGTCAAGAAAAAGGAAAGCCACTCTTTTGTCTCCATGGACACTCAACTTCCTCCGAGCAGTTCTTAGTCTGTGTAGCGCAGTAGCGGACTCTTGCCATCCGCTTAATAATTCATCAGGTCGGTCTCTGAGCTTTGAGCCTGCAGCGCTCACCAACTTTTCCCCCTCTAACTTTCGCAGCAGCAGTCGGCTGTTTCAGCAACTCTCCTTTTATACTTCAAACGGTTGGCGCAGAGGAAAACAGGTTCATGCACTTTGTGAGCATCTTATATGTGTGTGTGTGTGTGTGTGTGTGTGTGTGAGTGAGTGAGTGTGTGTATGAGGAGAGTGGGCGAAAGGTGTGTGTGTGTGTTGTCTGGACAGAGGGCATCCTGCTCATCTCATTCTTGGACTTGGGACCCATTGTTAAAACCGCAGCTCTTGTGGGACTGAACGAGCAAGAGGCTGTGTGAGAAGCACTCTGGAGGCCACGGAGAGGCTCGTATGGGACGTACATCTCATCTGTGAGCACCGCTGGTGAAAGCAGTGTTTAGGCTGTTTTAGGGGTTGTCTGTGCACCCTTGGATTCTCTGTCATCATGGCTGGCTGTACCTGCCGCTGCAGACAGGGGGTGCTAAAGCTCATTCAGTCCCTTCAGAGGCTTGTCTCGGGAACCCTCAGCAAAGGTAAGACACCTGCATTAACATCAAATTCAAAGAAAAAAAGGAAACAAGCTGGTTTAAAATGGTAAAGTACAGTTAAAGTGGGACAAATTATTAAGTTTTTTTTCAATGATTGAAAATGATGTTTTTTAATATTATATTCATTACAAATTTTTAAATATTACATTTATCATAAAATATAAGTTTTTCCCCATTGTATTTAATAAAATGTTTGTTTTAAATGACAGATTTAATATATTTTACTGTAATGTTATATTCAATATCAAGTTTTTTTTAATATTATATTTTTTTCACAAAGTATTTGTTATTAATATTACATTTAATAACATTTTAGCTTTTAATATTTACTATAAAAAATTTAATGTTATATTTAATATAAAGTTTTTTATATTCTATTTATTATAAAGTACTTGTTTTTAATATTGCTTTAAATAATGTTTTTTATTATTTTTAACATGATATTTAATATAAAGGTTGTATTTTATAATTTTCAATATATTTTTTTATATTATATTTATTGTAAAGTATATGTTATTAATGGCAATAGGTTTTTATTTTTAATATTATATTTACTATATAAATACTGTAAAATTATATTCTGTACAATGATATTATATTTATTATAAATTATTTGTATTTAATATTTAAGGATTAGTTCACCCAAAAATGAAAATTCTGTCATTACTCCCCCTCATGTTGTTCCAAACCTGTAAGACCTTTGTTCATCTTCAGAACACATATTAAGACATTTTTGATGAAATCCGAGAGCTTTCTGACCCTGCATGGACAGCAAGGGACCACGTTCAAGGCCCAGAAAGATAGTAAGGACATCATTAAAATTGTCCATGTGACATCAGTGGTTCAACCTTAATTTTATGAAGCTACGGGAATACTTTTTGTGTGCAAAGAAAACAAAAATAACGACTTTATTCAACAATTTCTTCTCTTCCGTGTCAGACTTCACGACAGTCCAGGGACGTGCACAGACATGTTGAGGGGCAGGGGCTCAAGTGGAAAAAAGGGCATTTATTTAAATTTATTTTTTTTTTTTTTCTAATCAAAACGTTAAATATATTAGGGGTGTGCGATATTGACAAAAAATATATCTCAATATTTTCTGGGATTTTATTGATAACGATAATTAGATGATATTTTGCTGAGTGTGTGCGCGGAGGGGCGTCGGAACATTTCCAGACCCGACCTGATATTTAGATTTTTTTTATTAGCTTGACAGGGAAAGCTGTGCGCAAACAGAAACACACACACACACACGTGCACATATAGCTATACATATATGAATTTATCACAAAAAAAAAAGACACTCCCCAGAAAAAAAGGGCACTTTCTCTCGAGGAAGAAAAAGGGCAGGTGCTCAAGCCCCCTTTTATGTCTATGTGTGCACGTGCCTGCGACAGTCCCAAGACACATGTGTGCGCATTCCTCTGCTTGCAAACAAGCCGCAGAGCATCCGGGTTCTTCGTCAGAGCGCCAGCTCCTGCGTCAGCAGCATTACACACATGCGTCTTGGTTCTCTCCTGAACGCGCGGCAAAGACTGGCAAGGATGAGAAGAATTGTTGAATAAAGTCATTATTTTTGTTTTTTTTGTGCACAAAAAGTATTCTTGTAGCTTCATAAAATTACGGTTGAACCACTGATGTCACATGGACTATTTTAATGATGTCCTGGGCCTTGAACTTGGTAGTTGTTTTGCTGTCTATGCAGGGTCAGAAAGCTCTCGGATTTCATCAAAAATATATTTTGATATTTTTGTTTCGAAGATGAAAGAAGGTCTTACGGGTTTGGATCGACAAGACGGTGAGTAATTAATGACAGAATTTTCATTTTTGTTATAGTATGTATTTAATATAAAGATTTCATGTTAATTAATGTTATGTTAATAAGTCTGGTCCGTCTCTTGTCCATGTGATAATGTTTTGTAATTGTGAGGGGGAATTTCTGACTTTGTCTGACAATAAAGTTGAATATTGTATCATTTATTATTTTATTCCATTTTATTTTATCCATATGAAGTGTTTAATATATTTAATATAAGGCATTTTATATAAATATTATATTCATAAGTGTTTTTTACATTCTATTAACTATAAACCTATTTTTATATCCTTATGTTTAATACATGTTGTTTTTCTATTCTATTCTATTCTATATTATATTTAATATAAAGTGTGTTTTTAATAATATTTTTAAATAATGTTTTTTGTTGTTTTCATACGACATCATTAAAATATTTTATTTTAAGATTGTATTTAATGCAGAGTATTTGTTTTAAATTTTTCTTCATTTTTCCTCTGTATAGTGTAGAGGAGAAATGTAGCTATTTAAAATGGTATTATTTCTGGGGACATGAGCCATTTGGCATTATATTTGAAAACAACGCCAATCACAAAATGTTGGATAGTGTCCCAATTTACCTGTATTCACATTGATTGTATTTGCTTATTTGTCTGTTGTTTTCTTTTGGTATTTAAACCTTTGTATCATAGTGCCAAATAGTAAGATACGCCAATATTAGGATGGAGTTCCAATGGCTCACTCTTTCACGCTTCACCTGGAATCAGCACACATTTATACTTCCATGCAACTCCTATATAGAAAAGCCTTTTTATCATTTTTTTTTTCTTTGAAGAGCAGTCTGGGTTCTTTGTTTGGCAATGATCTTCGGTTCTCTCTTTCATCCCTCTTATCTCCTCTGTTTTTCGAGTACCATAGCACTGTGTCAGCAGAAAAATCACTGCATGGTTCATCTCAATGCCGACGGGGCCCGTGGAGATGCTGGTACCAAGCAGTGGCTGTTTATCTGCTGTCATTGAGTGCGGAGAGCCGTACCCTCACCGCGCACTGCATGATGAACCCCCGTTATCTCTCCACTCCTTCATTATATCTTCCTCACAGACAGATACTCTTCCTATACACAGGGGAGTAGGAAGTTAATTTAAAGAGGATATTGAGGATTTGAAGCCACAGTATAGAATCTAAACCAGTCTCTCTAGACCACTATAGCAGCACAGTAAGAAAATCAGACCAGAGAGCACTAAAGCTGTGAAAGGAAGCTGTGACTCAAATATTTTGTATTTGTGTGCTCGGAGCTTATCTTAGTGTTATCTTATGCTGTGTGAATGAAAATACATTTAAAAAATCAGATAAATACTATTCTTCATTGATTCTATACATTAGAATAGTTTGGAAACTTAAACAAAGTAAAATAATCTTTAATGGATTAAAATAGAATACTTAGCAGGATACAGCAAAGTAAAATTGAATCTTAATATAATATAGAGATTTTATAGCAGAACTGAATAAAATCATTAGCAGAATATAATACAATAGAACAGACACTTCAACGAAACAATGTAATTACATTTTAGCACAATAGAATAACTTTTCTATAGAACAGAACAGAATCAGTATAGCGTGCTATTCTGTTCTTCTCTATACAGAAGAATGGAATGGAATCTTCAATAGAATAGAATCTTTATCTGAACAGAGTAGAAAATGGAAACTTAAAATAGAACAGAATCTTGAACAGAATAAAATATTTAGCAGAACTGAGTAAAAAAAGAACGGAAACAAAATATTTATAGGATTTTAAATAGAACAGTACAAAATTATGGGATCCAATTCCACAGAATAAAAAAAAAGTAAAAATGGTAACTCTTTTTTTCATAATTGTGAAATATAAACGTACATTTCTGAGAAAAAAAGTCAGAATTTTGCAATAAAAAAATCAAAATATCTTTTTCTGAAAAACGATGAGAACCGGTGAAATGTCAAATCAGGATTCTGAGGGGGAAAAAAATCAGAATTGCGACACGTAAACTCTCTTTTCTGACTTTTTTCTCATAATTCTGAGTTTGTATCTCGCAATTCTGTGTTTATATCTCTCAATTCTGACTTTTGTGAGTGAGAGATGTGAGGTAAAAAAGTTGCAATTACCTTTTTGTTTTGTTTTTTATTCCGTGACGGAAACAGGCTTCCATACAAAACAGAACCAAAATAGTAAAGGACTTGTTTTTTCCTCCCCAAATAACCCCATAATTTAAGGTCATGTTCTGTAATTTTAGAAGGCTGATGCTCAAAGCCCTCTGGCTAAACAGCCTTGTTTTAGAATGAATTAGTGCCAATATGTAATGAAAGCTCAATGAATAGAGTGTGAGAGAGAGAGTCTGTATGCATCCATCATGGTTATTCTAGCTGACCGCACTTTACCTCAGTCAACCCATTAGTGGGTTAATGATGACCCTTCACCCCTGCAGGAGCAGATAATATGATGTTGAATTTCTGAACCTTCCCTACTGCTCTGCACTAAAAATGAACACACATTTTTACACACTTATATTTTACACATTCATCAATTCATGCTGCATATTGTCTGTGTAGCTGTATGGCATATTCTGCATCCAGATCTTCCAGCACAACCTTCTTTCTAACCTATGACTGGGGGGGGGAGGGAATCAAGAACATTGCAGGAAAAAATACTGTTGCCCATGAACACCCAATCAGAAGCTGTTTTGTTGTTACCAATATCAACCTTGAGTGCAAGTGACAAGGCCAGTCAAGCACAAGGCAGGGTGTACGTGTTTTGTTTAAGTGCAGGGTGTGTGTGTGT